TACACACACTTTGCTAACTTTATTTCTTTCCTTCTTTTTTACTTTTTACCTTTCTATCTCTCTCTATATGTCCTGAACAGCCTGAGAACCTGCTATACTATAACACAGATGAGAATGCTAAGATCATGGTCAGTGACTTTGGTCTGTCTAAGACGTTGGAGCATGGTGTGATGTCCACAGCCTGTGGAACACCAGGATATGTTGGTGAGTTATTGGGCATATTCATACATTTTGCAATGTTCCCTTGCTATCTATACCTGATATAAAATTTGTGGTGATGACACAAAGAAAATGAATTGTGAAAGAAATCAAGTAATGTTATACAGTGTGCATGCTAATGCAAAAGAGTAGTCAATCAGTTATCATAAAAGGACCCTGTTCCTCCTGGGTGGATAACGAGTTATCCAGATCTGAATGTTGACTATTTGACACGAGTCTGGATGTTTTGGTTCTTCGAAGTTGGTTTGAAGTTCATCAGGATCGGTCATCAGAGTCCTTAAAGCAAAACCGGCAAAAGAGCAGGCTTATCGACAGTTAGCTGGATGCCATACATGAAATCATTTTGAAATACAAATGGCTCGCTTTCTGACATGATTTATTATTTTAGAAGAGAACGTGCAGGTCTTTGTAAAATCCCTGTTGGTATAATTATATAATTAAATAAAAGTTTCTTGCATGTCCACTGGCACCCCTCATCAATTATGTCACAGTCTGACCATATTTACCGTTGATATCTAATCTTTAACAGTGATGAAGGTGCGGAAACAGTGGAGACATTGTAGAGCACAATGCAGAGCAAAATTACTGCCGTAACAATGTATAAACTTAAATAAAATGAGCTTAACTTACAGTTTTTCTCAGTCGCTTTGGTGCATTTCTCGAATCATCCTTAACATTTGCAAAACAGTAAAGTGCATTTCTCAAAACAGGTAGTACAAACAGCACAACACAGTGGATTACCTGCAAAAGCCCATAACTTGCTCAAAATCCATAGTCTATCTCTCAAGAGAAAAGTCATTGAACTTGCCAGTGCCATCAGAACAACAAGTCCTTGTGTCTTGTTTATGAACAAGCAAGTCAAAATGTTTAGCTATCTGGTCAATGTAACAGTGTACTCTGTAAGTATTATCTGATGTACACTTTGGCTAAGATTTTGATGACAATGATTGAAAATGCACAAGGCTGCACTTTTTTTGTCTGGCATATATCACTTTCACCAGTACAAAGTTATACATTGCAGGAGAGAGGACAGGAATCACAGCTTTTACTGTTGGTACTGTAATTTGTAGACAGAGCATGTCATTGTAAAACAGAAAAGAAAGAGACAGGACTGTTGCCTGTTGTATCACAGATTCTCTTCCATATCACAACAGATATCTTCATCAATTCAGGACACATTTACAAAAAAATTCTAATAAAAAACATTTTTACATTTTCTTGTGATTTTGAGATAACCATAATGGTAATTACAGTGCGGTTTGTTGTGTTGTTGGTTAGCTCACTTGGTAGAGCATAGGACTTTTAGGTTTAAGGTTGTGTGCTCAATTCTCACTGAAGACTAAATTGTTTTATTTATGTTTTATATTTTTCATAATCCTCTTCAACAAAGTTCTTATGAAAAGACTGTTTCACATGCTCACATTACTGTAAAGCACGTGCTGGACTGTGCGTTCTTGGTCCACATCCATCAACCTATGGACTTTTCATTTCCCCATCATTCCCAGGCAGAGGAAATTCCTTCTCATTCAGGGGAATCCATGTAATGTTACACATTTCCTGACGGCTTTCGGAACCTTTGAAATAGCCGTAATGAAATGTGTAATTGGATTCCCCTCAATCTCTTCATAACAATTTTGCTGAAGAGGATAATACACACATAAGAAGAGAAAGACAGTCAACATGAACAGGAATCAAACTAATCAAACTGAGCCCTGTGCTCTACCAACTGAACTAACCAGTGACACTGGTAATTGCTTTGAAATTATCCTAAAGAAACGCTATGGTTTGTTATCTCGTGATCACGAGAAAATTAATTATCCCGTTCTCAGGTGAAAACAACATTCGTAATATTCATAATATATTACTTCTCACTGTGTATTGTTACTGTTTACTGGTATTGAGTATTGGTCTGAGTGTTGCTATTTTGATGTTGTTGTTTTATATTCTTACTTTGTTTATGGTCCTTAAGAAACAACATTTCGTTTAGCTACAGTATATACTTGTAGGCAAAGGATAGTATAGAAAGTATTTTAACTTTGATTTTTGATAACGTGTTCAACCATTTTGCATGTAGTGACTAATGCAATGAACTTATGCCTAGATGTTTTGGGGGTAAGATTATTCAACAGAGACTGGTATAATTCATTGTGATCAGCAGGACATAAGCAATTGATAATGTAGGAAACAGCAGACAATTGGACATAACCATGTCCAAAGTCCAAAATGTAATATAGATCATTAATCTATTGCCCGAGCGCATGTTGGGAAGGTACCGAACACATTATCTCATTTACCTGCAAGCCCATGATCAGGATCATAGAAATGATGAATTTGGTTTTAACACTCTACTTTTTTGCCATTATTTGAAAATAATAGACCCCAGTTGTTCAAATCAAATCAATCCTCAAACTGTTTTCAAAAAAAGAAATTAACTTGATGAGAATAAACAGGATTATTTTAGCCTGATAACAACATTAGTCAAGCCCTATTCGAAGTACACGGCCAAGGCGTCCAGAGCCCATGTCTGTATAATCAGAGGGAATAGATCATACTAAATGTTCAAATGTATGAAATACTAAAATGTATTAGCAGCTAAAAAGTACACATTGTCATAATGACACATGATGGTTTTGTCAGTCATATTTAAACGCTATTGGAACTGCAGTACTATAGGCGTTGTTTAGGTTGAAATGATTAGTAATATCATTTAGGATATTGAACATTTCCATGTGAAGAGATTAAAATATTTAAGACTAAATCATCTAGTAGTTTACAGAAAATGTCAAACTTTATGGGATAATAGTGGCTTTGCAGCAGGCGGTCATAAATAGAGGTGATTATAGTGACATTTTAAATCCCAACAATGTAGAAAAGGATAGCCATGGTAAAAGTAATCCATTTCGAACAGCACTTCTTCTCACTCTGATACCTGCATGATACCCACTGTGTGTCATTCTACAGCCCCTGAGGTTTTGGCTCAGAAACCCTACAGCAAAGCAGTGGACTGCTGGTCCATTGGAGTTATCACTTACATCCTGTGAGTACATTTCTGTTCTCTAATTTAATTTTGGCTTGTGGAATGTAACTATATACTACAGTGCCCATGAGCCTCAGCCAGTGTTAATGGACTGAGGCTCTAGATCTGTTATAGCATATTTAGTTAACACTCAGTTGCTGTAACCATGAACAAAACACTGCCCCATAGATGGTGTCATCTAAAATTGATCCAGAATTTAGATGTAAGGGATTTACAAAAGGTGGATGTCGAGGGATTAACTGAGTTAGCCTGTTGTTTCTGTGTTGCAGGCTCTGTGGCTACCCTCCCTTCTTTGAAGAGAACGATACTCGTCTGTTTTCAAAGATCATGAGAGCTGATTATGCCTTTCATTCACCCTTCTGGGATAACATCTCTGAGTCAGGTATGGAAACAGCACAAAACATTCCACATCTCAATCTTCAAAAATGCTTAGACATCTAAGACCCCTGCACTTCGTGTTCAATGGGTCAGCATTTTTTATTCCTTTTCAATCATTGACTTAAAGCAAACTTAAAACAAAATAATGTCTTCGGATTTGAATTAAAACTTGACTTGGACTTATCTGTCAAGTGTCTTGACTTACATAAGACTTGACAGCCATTATACTCGGCTTGAAGTGAGACATGAGGGCTTGAGAGAGGAGCTTTAAAAGTTTGCACATGTTACTGCCTTAAAGACTCCTTTTTCAAAATTCTGAGCACCTGCAGTTGTCTTTGTAACACCTATGAGGTTAAAGTAGTTAGTAGCAGTGAAAATGCATTTCACTGTTGCGATTATTAAAAGGAAGTGATGTAAGCAAGAAGTGTCATGTCACGTGTATCGTACACGACAAGATCTTATATTGAAATATTCTTCTAACGTGTTAAGACTTGTTTTGTAATGGGCCTCAAAAGAGTTAAATCTAGCGCTGGTTGTTTCGTAAAATGTGACAAAGATAGTGCCATTACTCTGTGTTAGCTAAAGTACAGATCAGGATTTGTTTATATATCCCTAGCGCTTAACCTAATATAGACCAGCATACCTCCTGAGGACAGCTATGGTGGTTAGTATCGGTTTCGGATTAGGTAATATATGATTACTGTGGATGCTAAATGGGCAAGGACAGTTCTCTCCTGCCTGAGGGATTAAATTAGTTGGCATTAGGAGACATGCCAAACAGTCTCCCAACCTAAAGATATGACATAGAATTGAATTCTGTGAAGGACAGGCAGAACAAAAAATGCTAATGCTTAGATAGTGAAAAACGTGCTGATTTTGAAAAGTGCTGAAGAGATGTTAAAAGGCTGATGAAAATAAATCTTTTGAAAAAAACCTTACCAAAACATAAAAAGTAAAAGTAAATGCCATGCTAGCTGTGAAGAGGCAATTAAATGGAGTTGTGTTTCAAAGAGGGGACAATAAAAAGGTTATGTTTGTCTTGCCTTAGCATGATGGTCAGTGATTTATTGTATGAATTGAATTGTTCTTTTGTATTTTACTTGAAGCTTTGGCAATACTGTTACATTGACATTCATGCTAATAAACCGAATTTGAATTTGAATTTGACGGAGCATTGTGGTAGATGAATTGGTTTTGTAAGAACTTTAAACAGAAGAACGTATTACTGAATACAGAAGGTTATGTCATTTGCATGAAGGTCAAGGATAAGACACTGTTTAACATTATGCTACTTTATACCAGCTGTTATCCAATGATCAACATCCCTTAAACACACAAGCATGAGATTTTCTGTTATTCTGCACAGCACTTTAGACTTTACATCAATGGTTCTCAAACTCTTTCACGTCTAGGACCCCAAAACTGGCACAAATTAGACCAAGGGCCCCAATTTGATAAGCTTTTGTCCCAGGATTGCTGATCTAATAGGATTTTGCCTTTTTATTTTTACAGAAAGTGTATGAATCCCATGACCAAAATAGTCATACATTCTGTCAATGTGTTAGTTATGAATGAAATTATGGTGAAAAAATAATCATTCCCCTTTTTGCCACGTCGACGGGGCTGTATCTGTCTTCTGCTCTTATTTAAGCTCCTTTTAACTCAGTTGATAGATGAGTTATTGATTTATTAGCCTTTTATTTTGTTTGCTTAGGTGCAATTAAGTTTAAAGTTTGGTTAAAAAGTGTGTTATTGTAAGCTTGCAGTAGGTCAACAGCTGTCTCTGACATGTTTCAACAGCCAAAGACTTCATCAGGAATATGATGGAGAAAAATCCCTCAAAACGCTTCCTCACCGAACAGGCACTCCAACACCCCTGGTTAGTCGTTTTTCTTTGTCACAAACACACATACCCACATCCACAAACACACATAGCCACCGTGTTTTTTTGTTTTCCAAATTAACTAAAGTCATCAACTTGATTGCAGGATAGCAGAAAACACAGCGAAAGACCTCGACATTTATGAGTCTGTCTGTGAACAGATGGAGAAAAACTTTGCCAAATCCAAATGGAAGGTAAGAGACACTTTTGGCTCATGAACTACTTTATATTACAGCTTCATTTGCTTTTGTTGGTTATAGGCAACCAACATAAGTTGAGCCACCCAGGAAAAATACAAAAAAAACTGTGTAAGTAGGTATATTTTAGCAAAAATGAGGAACATAGTCAGCATGCTGACAAACAGTGGTGAAGCGGATTATGCTGCCGGAGTGGTTTATGTTATGACAGCTTTTATAACCATGATAATTTCAAAGTGACCACAGCTGCTGTACTCGATAAAGAAAATAAAACTCCATTGTAAAATGCTCTCAACACTGTTATTGCATTTGACACTTACACATAATTATATCATTCCAAAGTTTCTTGAGGTTAAGTAAATTATTCATTATACAGCCAGAGAAAGAGGGGTAATTACAATCATGGGTTGTAACAACAACAACAACAACACCACGGTGTCCTTACCAATCGTTGACAAATGTGTCACGTGTCTGTGTCGTGTGATTTTTTTCCGGATTAATCAGGATTCAGGATTTTCTAACCTTCAAATGAGACTCACATGAATCATGCAGATCTGTGAAAAATATATTGTTATTTGGGAGGCACTGCTAAGTGTTTTTGGGAGAGTGGGAGGGACAAAACTGCTCACTTTTAATTATCTCAAGGATACTTTAATGGAAGCATGTCTTCTCAAGTGCGAAGTTGAATACATGGTTAAAAGAGATAGAAAATGATCAAGATGAACTATTAACATAAGGAAAAAAAATGACTCCAGGTGTCTAGATAAGATGTAAGTTGTCCTTTTATTGTTGCTGTAAGTTTTTCCAGTGTCGAATGTTCAGTGAGAAGTTTGAACCAGTGTTGAATTGATATTTTTGTTCTATCTTTCCAGTTTAAAAGGATGACCTTTTTAGCAAGTGTTAAGGATACAAAAAGGAAAGGTTTGTGTATGAGTGAAATATGAATTGAAGACAAATCACCTAACAAAGCAACTAAGGGGCTGTCAGGGACGCTGAGGCCAAGCACGAGGGATAGAGTGGTCAGGACGTCCGACCAAAAGGAATGAATGAATGGACATGACCAGAGTTCATTCTGTGTTAATCCTGTTCAGTGTTCTGAGATTGCTTACCTAAGATCTTAATGACTTTCGTCTTTGAGAAAATGGATTAGTGTTAGAATGCTGAGTTGACCACCTAGCTAGCATAACAAAAAATCAATTAGAAAATAAGCAATGAGCTTCAACTAGGTAACCAGAAAACCCATATTTCGTTACTAGAACCAATTTCAAACTATAAAATTACAGTATCAATTCACATTAACATTTCAAGTTGAGATGCACTAACACTGTCACTATAGCAACCACACCAGCTAGACTCAAGTTATAGCTAAACTGGTGTGAGTTAACAGATTCATAGATTTAGAACTAACATTATAAAAATAAACATTTAAACAGGGAAACATCTCCATGCCGCTGCACCATGCTCTGCGCTCTGTGCATTTTCATGATTTTTTGTCCTTTGCCAATCACGTGCCTGCTTTGTGTGCCCATTTCCAACAGCAAGCCTTCAACGCAGCCTCAGTAGTTCACCACATGACGAAACTGCAGTTGTCCCAGAGTGAGCCGTCCCACTCCTCCCTCTCCATGCCCCACATCATAGTACATTCCTCCTCCCAGAATGATCTGGAGATGCTGGAACCCTGCCACAATGAGGCTGATGACCTCGACCCAAACGGAAATCCCGTTCATGCTACTAATCATCTACCCTGCAGTAATCCTGAGTCGGACAAAAGTCTCTGTCCACCACTGAGAGCCAGTCACAGTGGGCCTGGCAAAGCCCTCACTGTTGGAGAAATCAATAACTTTCATTCAGAAATCGACGCTCCGTTCAGGCCATCCAAGAGGTGAGAGCCACTGCCCTGTTTGAGATGCTAGAAAATTGGTCATGTCACATTTACCAGAAAAATAAGAAAAATGTTCAAGTGCAATATTGAAAATTAAAATTATGAGATTAATATTTTCTGCCAAAAATATGCCAACACTGTGTTTTGGTTATATGGATAATTCGTCAAGCAAGATTGAATAGCTATTGGTTCTGAAACCTTTTCAAGAAATATTCTAAGAGTATTTTTCATTAAGTGCAGTGGATAATATACCTACAGTGTGAGTTGTAATATAGTAAATATAGTAAAATTTCTGGTGATTAATTTTCCAGTCTGAGCTAAATTGTTCTCTCCTTTGTTAATGCCTTAAAAACAGGTTAACAGGCTAAAATATGTTTTTTGTCAGAATCTTTGTGTTTGTTGTAGTAGTACTCATTTTGGAAATTCTGAAGTGCAGCACTAGCCCATTTTCTGAATAGGGCTCAAAGCACTCATGTTTAATTCCTTGTGAGTTTTAATTTCTCCATGGCAGATTAGCGCTAATTAAAATACAATTCTAGCCAAAAGAAAGACTTGACAGTAACTTTACATAACTTGTCAACACACAATATATGTACGTTGTCTTTCGAGTACATGGACAAATTAAAACTCACCTGAGGCCTGTACTACGATGCAGGATTTGAGGTTAGCGAAGTAAATTCAGGTTTAACCCTGGGTTTTCACTCCTACAACGGTGGTTCACTTCTTACCGGGGTACTTCAGTAACTTATGCTGAACGACTAACCTGCGCTGGAGCAGGTTATGTTCGAGATAAGAGATCAACTCTATAAAAGCACCGCCTACTGACCAATCAGTTCTCTTGGAAAATGATGTCACCATTTGCAGAAGATCCAGTTTTTTCCATGTGGATAAGAAATACCACACCCAGGGAGAGTCATCATTTGTCTTCATCATTGAATTATTCTAATGAATCTTGTTTGTGTGATGTGTTGCAGCATGGAAGCTGTGGCTCAGAGGAAGGACCAGCCGCTTCAGTCCGGAGTGTGTTCTGTCATGTGATTGGCTGCTAGCCTGAGATAAATCTCACGCAGGTAGAGTCATCTCTCTCAATCAGAATTTTGATGTCAACCTAACAAATGACTGACTCAAACCAGCCTGTAATTAATAACACATTTTTGTCTTCTTTTAGTTTGTCTTTTGAGTTGACGGCAGTTGAGTTGAGCGTCATCCGTCTCAGAATGAAGGCGTTGATACTTCTGTTGCTCAGCTTTTTCATGTCACTGTTGCGGAGAACATGCTCCATCGACCGGGACTGCATCTATACTGTAAAAGACTATCTCTCTATCACGGAATGACTTTACGTAGTGAACACCACGTTAAAGCAGACACAAGCAGGAATTCAAAGTCAGTTTCACTCTACAACCTGTGACAAATAAATCAACCTTGTACCTTGTATTCATCATTTATAAAATTATACATTCTGTTGGCATTTATTTTCTCAAAACTGTTATTATCATTGTATTTTACTCTACATATTACTCAATACCATTAAAATGAATTGGTTTTGAATAGATTTAGCTGACCTATGCAGTGTAAAAGCTCATTTCTGATTTGTTTTGAAGTTTTTACAAAGCTGAAAAGCTTTTTCAGACTTCAGAGTCTTGTCACTTGTATGCTCTGAGTATCTTTATTAAGATACTTAACTTATCTTCAGTGTTCACACTATAACATTTTCGATGTATGCTGGATTACATGGATGGATTACAAGTCCAACTTCCGCTGTACCCAAAGAGATGAATGGAAAATGTTCTTTATATTTATGAGATTAAACTTTATTTTCAGGTAGAGTCTTTGAAACACAGTCATTAAGTGCAAATACTGCTGTCTTGTTAAACAAGTGAATTTATCAAGTGCCACAAGGTGATGTAAATATGCTGTCAACACTAATGATGTCATGGATGATTCTGAATTCACAAATGTAGAGACATAAGTGTTTTTTGTATTCTCAATAAACATGCTTTTTCCTGTGTCGAATGAATAGCTGCAGTACCATGTTGGCCTCTCTCATGAAGCTTTAAGACTTAAATTGAAGTATCAACAGGCTTTCATTTAAATACTGTGGATTCAGCAGATGAAAAACAGACAAATAAATAATGTAACATTCATCCCATCTCCAGTTCGGACAAATACAATAATTGTGATGCAGTGTTCACAGTGGAGTGTATTGCTGCTGATAAATATGGTTTGTGTTGGCTGTGGCCTTTTTCTAGATGCTAAATGATGACAATTATAAAGACAAACTCACAATATCACAATGTTTTGATATATAAAATATATAACATTTTTAAATAGTGATATGTGCCTATATAATGTGATACTATTGGTGCTTTCAAAAGGTTTTTACGCACAATGTGGATTTCTGATAATTAAATAGTGCACCCCCCTATATTGACAATGTTGCTTATCACTACACTTTGAAGTTATTTACAGTGACGAGCAGTCATTTACATCTTATCTCATTCAACCCCAGATAAGGATTTTGAACAATTCCCACAATTGTAGAGGATCAATGTTCTTGTTATTGCAAAATTCCAGAGTTAGGGAGGAATTCTCCAAACTGAAAACTTTTTCGGCCAGTTGAAGGTGTGAATGGTGTAGACATGAGTTGTAGAGACAGCAGCAGCAGAAGCTGCTCAGAGGGCAGCTGGGTGGCTTTCAGCCCTGGCAGGTGCTGAGGTCGAGGGCTTTCTTTCGAAGTGCTGCCAAAAGGTCTTTCAGCTTAGCATCAAGTCCTTCAAGCTGTGTTGACTTTTGAAGGACCTCGTCCTGCAGCCCCCTGAGGGAATCTGCCTTTCCTGGAAAAAGATAAGAGGACTGGAAGTGACCTGGGATCTGATAAATAACACTCCAAATCTCCTCACAGGACCAGAGCTCCAACTGATGACACAAAGGTCACTTTTCAGAGAGTTCTGGGCGACCTGAGTCAATTTAGACAAATTCTACAACTGGATTTTACACATGATGCGGATTGTGCCTACTTTTAACCTCTGAGGCAGTAGGCAATTGTCAAGTCAGAAGCAGAGAGGAAAAAGATTAGCTGTTTTATTAAGCATCTCAGGTTCACACCTAGAAGTTGTTCTTAAAGTTCTAAGATTGAACATCTTCTTTCCCCCGGAGGATTCAAGGACTTTTTTTTTAAGACAGTAACAGTCATTAATTAAAAAAAATGTTTTTTTAATACAGAATTGTGGTTTTGTGTTTTTGATTTATTACCTTCCAAAGCATTCATCATGTTGTCAGTGGTGTTGACCAGGGCTACAGCATCCTGCTGCAGCTTCGCCAGTCGATCCTCCACGGGCCCAGCTCCATTATCGGACCCACCGGCTGCGGCCTCGTCTTTAAGACGATCCAGCTGCTTCTTTAAAGACAACAGGTCCTGCAAACACACACACACACACACACACATACTTGTATTGGTACATTTATGAAGACGTGCCATTGACTTACCCTATATGCAGACATTTGCAAATGAAATGCACTGCAAAAGGGCCATGACTTACCTTTCCTTACAATTATAAACATACCTCGCCAATGAAATGCTTCAGCTTATTTTCAGTGTTCTAGTATATTAATACTAGATTCAGAAGTGTTGACTAAGTTCTTCTGGCAACCCCCCACCCCCCGCATCTCTTCAGTTTAAGACACTGAAGATTGTTAAAGTAAATATACATTTTTCAAAATAAAATAGCTACACTCTCACCTCGTTTGCAGCAGCTGCTTCATCCTCAGCTTTGTCTGCATCTTCCTGTGCATCCTGGGCCTGCTGGTCTCCATTCTCCAGCAGGTCTTTGAGCTCGTCCAGTTGAGGTTTCATTGGCTTTATCAGTGTCGAGACATCATCAAGAGCCTTCTCTGCTGGGCTCAGCTGGTTTTTGGCCTGCGTAAAGTGAACCACTCTAAAACTCTTGGCAAGCAGCTTTTATTGGAATAAATTATACCACAATACCATGTCATCCGTTGTTTGATGTATCCATGCTGCCTACCTCAGTTAGGTTGTAGTTCAAGTTGTCTATGAGATCCATGCTGTTCTGCAGCTTGTCCTCCAGGTCAGAGAGTAAGCCCTCCGCCGTGCCGAAGCCTGTCAGCAACCCGTCCACGTCGGCCTTTACGCCCAGTGCAGTGTCCCTGTGAATGTGCAATCAGAGAAAGGATCTTTCTAGATTCTATGCACAAGGCCTTGTTGTAAAAATGTGGATTTTGTGAATCTAGTAAGTACAATTCCAAGAAAAGCCAAGAAACTGTGAAAAATGGGTGCAAGAAAAAAATGCAGGATCTTGATAAAAACAGCATTCAGTGTTCTACTCTATGTGTTCTACTATGTCCATGCTTTTATTAAGTGTTTTAATATCCATCCTGGGATTAATAAAACACTATTATTGCCATAAGCATGTATCAGTAGCAGTAGTCTGGTCCTGGAGTGTGTATGCCCACCTGGCGTCCTGGGCTTCCTGCAGCAGTTTCCTGGCTTTGACAAGCTGCGGCTCGGCCTTGTTCAACACAGCCGTGCTGTCTGGGAGATTAGCAGCCAGATTCTTCAGCTCCTCCAGCTTCCTCTTCAGAGCAGCCAGGTTGGGAGGCAGTTTGGCTTTCAGGATCCAGTCGCTCACCTCCTGGATGTGGGTCAGGTTGGAGGACGGGTCTGTGCAGACAGAACAGTTGGAGGCAAAATGGCAAATGAGTGACTGACCTTAGCATCACCTTCAAAATCATTATTACAGAAACCAAGTGGACCTTCCTTCCGCATATCAGTCCACTCCTCCATCTACCCTCGGCACTAAAACAATCTTTACCTGACAGGAAATCTTTGAGCTCTTTTACAACGTCACGCGCCTCTTTTAGGTCCTCTTCCAGCTCGTCTCTGGTCTGCTTCATCTTATTGGACAGTTTCTCTGCAGACTGTCTCACCTGATTGGTTGTCTCCTGTGTTTTCTGGAGCTGTAAGGAATTGAAAATAACTTTAGAATCTGTATACTGTTTTAACAACTGGAGAATTATCTAAATTATCCTACATAAAAATCTAAAATTGCTCATGCTTTTGTAGTAGAGTTACAGAGATGTGCCGGTGGAGCTATCAGAAGTGAAATGTGTATACCTTCTCTGCAGCCTCTGTGATCTTCCCAGTGAGCTTATCCAGTCGCTCTTTCACATCCTTAGCATCAGCGTCAGCCCTCTTGCTCAGAGGCAGGGCACCCACACACTTTTCCCCCTTTTTACAAGGTGGGGTTCCCTTTGGTGGACACAACTCTCCGCCGTCACACTGGAGAGGGGTGCAGGGCTCTGTACGAACACTGCCACACACCTGAAAAGTAACAGATTGATGTGGATTTCAAGGGCAGATACGGGAGCTGTGGCCCGATTTAACAAAAATAGCCATTAGACTCACTTTTGGAACACACACAAGCAATCTAAATAATCGAACAGGCAGATTTCCATGAAAATGACTGAGTTTATCTAGGCTTCCCTCATGATTAATCCCTTTAGAACAAAAAGGGATAAGGAACATTCTGGATCATATTCATGCTCTGAAAGGCATACACCCTTTTTGAGTTTATGCCCCAATGGCCTTTCCTCTAGCGCCACCTTCAGGAGATAAATTGACATTTGAACAACTTGCATTTTCCAAGGAGAAGGAAAACTAAAGATGGTGCAGATGAATGCAAAGAAGTAAATATATAAACAACCTGAACAGAAATTGATTTGGAAGTTGAAGACATGCTGGCTCAAGATTTAAAAAATGCTTCAGCTTCTTCCTGTGTTCATGTGTTAGATTTACACCAAATTCATTTTCATCATCCCACCAAACACACTGTGATCTTTCTCCCTGCTAAATGAAACGTCACAGCATCACGTTAATGAAATGAGGCCTGGTAGTTACCTGTTTGGCAGCAGGAGTGAGGTCAGGTCGGGAGGCCATGCTCTGGTTCAGTTTGTCCAGATCTCTGGTGTTGGCTAGCTGTACTTCATTTTGAAGGTTTATAGTCTTTTCTCTAGCATTAGCTGACTCCTTCACTGTGTTTCCACTGTCATCCACTTTCTTTGCCGCATCTGTAGACTCATCATAGGCTTTCTTGATGGCAGAAAATCCTTCTGAATAAGACAAAAACACTCAACATGAGTTCATTTTATGCTGCTACCATATCAGAAAGTGAGAAACTAAAAATGGTGGAGATGGTTTAGTCAGACATTCTGTTCAAACCGATATAAGTATGCGTCAAATTTAAATCTGCAATCAATGATCAATGACTATAGCGGTGACTGGTATATCTTTGTCTCTGACCTGCATTGCCAGAGTTCTCCGTTGCGTCTTTCTTGGCGTTGTACTGCACAGTGAGGCTGAGCAGCAGAGCTTGCAGTTTGTCCAGCTCTGAGTCCAGACCAGGGGTTTTCTTCAGGGGTGAAAGGTCATTGTTAACCATGTCCACCTGGTCCCTGTAAAACAAAACAGGAGTTGTTCAACTGGGCATCAGTGAGCATTCATCCAAGAGTGAGAATAAGGTGAAGACATGACAGAGTAAGCTTTATAAAGAGATGACATTAAAACCATTAAAACAAAGATCTCCTCTGACTATCTCAGCAGTCCCCTACCTCAGCTTGTCAAGTTGGGATAGAGCGTCATCAATC